TCGAAATACATACAATAAATAAAAAGTGATATTTTAAAGTTAGTCGGAGTCAATATCGTCGACATTCTCTGGTTCCGATAGTAAGCTAATAACTTCACTCGTTAATGGTCGCCGCTTTGTCCTAGGGGTTTTCCGCAAACTATTTATGAACGGGTCTGACGATTCAGCAATCTGTGCAGCAAATCCAAGTTACTACAAATTCTTGACTTTTTTCTCGTGAAAAGTTCACGATAGTTTCGTGCATCTTTGTTTCTGGACTCTTGAGCTTCTTCCGAAAGTTGACCAATAGGAAGAATAGAAGACACGATTATACTCTTTCCATGAAACAGAATTTTATGTACGCTCACTGGCATATTGTACCAAGCATATTCCGATAAATATAGTTCCCTTGTCTCTGTCACATAATAGCCAAAAGCTTCAGCATTTATTTGAAACCCACATCCTATGCATGAAAGTATTGTATGAAACCTTTTCAAAAGATTGATGTTTATGCCGGTTATGTCTGATGTTATTTCAGGATCTCCAAAGAATCTTCTCGCTTTACAAATATATGTACCTGAGCTGTGTTTGACTTTGAAAATAAAATTTTTTAAATATTAATCAAAAGCCTCTAACTGTAAAGTTAAGAAATCTAAACAATTTTTATTTATATTCGCACTGGAAAATGCGTTTTAACTAGAAAATATGATTATGTGAAATTTCACCTTATATGAGGGCAAGGGGAAAAAGTGGGCGGAACAGGCCCATTTTCATTTTCAAATCAGATTTAGGTATCTGTAACCACACTGCAAAATTTCAAATGAATTGGTCCATTGGTTTGGCTGTTATTAATTTTGGCATCCTAAAAATGACAAAAGTTACACTGTGCGTTGCTGCGAAGCCATACGTTGCTACATATTGACCACCCAGCTGACAAACCACGCCAGAATCGTAGACCACCAAGGCGTCCAATCAACGACGAGGGCGACTCCGACACGCCACAAGCTGGGGCGGAAACCGAGGCTTTCCGCCCAGAAGACTTGGTCGGAGGGGAGACAAATGCTTTCCCCTCTGAGATGCCAAGCGAGCGAGGTGGATTGGAAATCGGAGCTTTCCAACAACCGTAATGCTCGCCGCCGCCATCAATACGGGAAAAGAGAGGGCATGGGGAGATCTAGATCATTCCAACCCCCAACTAGGAGCGGTTTTCGAGCTACGCTGGTACAGGAGGGTCGCAACGTAGCCTACTGAATTCAATGTCTAACATCAGTCGCTCCAACCGCTGTTGTGGAAATTGAGGCAGGAGGGCGGCTACATTTAGTACGAGCTCTTATATACCCGTGCGCTACGTCATCAATTATTACGGAAGACCTTGTCCGGGAGCTAAACCTGAGCGTGACGTCTATAAATTGTCAGCGGGATGTTTCCTCAGGTTGCGCGGAAAACATGGTCAATCGGCGACGATCACCACTCACGCTATGGTCTTACGTACATATTTTGTGTTTACAATTTGTAACCAATCTCAAGAGTGGTTGTTAAATTTTTAAAATCAAACAATCACATTTTTGAAACGAGTAAAATGTGAATGCACACTCCACTGATTCAATCATTATACCGCTCTGATTTCCAAGAATTATTGCCCCTTTTCTTCTATCCTAAACGAACTTACAAAAAGGAATGACGTATTTATGAGAAACGTCATTACAAAAAAGGAGGAGAAATGATAAGTTATTTTGCTGAAATTTTCGCTAGTATTTTAATAGGGTGCTGCTGCAAAAATATAGGCTAATTTCTTTTTAAAGACAATTTAGCGTAATAAAACGTTATATTCTATAATTTTGGCTCGAAGAAAAAAAGCCATCAAATGCAAATTTTGTTGAACCTAATGGAAGCCAGTGTGGGCATTGCTGGTGCATGTACCCACCTTAATAACTAAAAAAAATAAATGTTAGTATATAAACCGAAATTAAGCCAAACGGAAAAACATACCATTTGGAAATCGGTAATTTTATTAATTCTTCATCACTGTGGCTTCGCGAAATTATAGGGTTAAAACTATGAGCTGGTCATGATTCAATAATACAAGGTTAGATAATTATTGACAGCTGCGGTTTGACACTCCCTTACAAAAGGTTGCATTTACGGAGGACAGAGAAAGGGCAAGAATGCAATCCCTTGTTTCGAAAATGGTAGTAGAAAAGTACGCAAAGTAGGCAATTAGTAGTGAAATTCCTTTCGTAAATTCTAATGTATTTGCAGGAAATCTGGCATTTTAAACGAAATGTTGATCGTAATATTGATATATCTACGTGAATTACGTAATTTATATGCTATTTAGCCGTATAAAAACTGCAAAATGACTCAAAATTAAAATAAGACTACTATGAGACTGATGTAAACATCCAATGCTTATGTTTTCATCAGTTAAATATTCTTCGTATGCATATACAAATAAAGATATTGCACAAAAGCTTATACTTTTATTTCACACCAAAGCTACACTGTTTCCATGTAAATTTGCAAAGAAGCAACACGGTGACACTGCTAAGGGAGCGGTGCGAGAGAGACAACTGTCAGTTTATCGAACCTTGTATTATTGAATCATGTGAGCTGGTATGGGTGTTGATAACACTGCGTGTGCGTGTAACTATGTGTTTGGCGCCAGTGAGAGCGTTAGTATAGCTGAAATTGGAAAAGTTGTAACTAGAAGTTTTAAAAACCACAGTTTTCCATTGCCATTGAACTGACGCTTGTTGAACACTGGAGTCAGCTTTAGAGAACCAGAACTACTATAGACATACAGTTTACACATATGTACATACATATATACGGCCAAAGAACTTGAAACTGCAATGAAGCATGAGAGAAGTGAATATTTTATGTAATCTATTATAACTTGAGTATGTTGAGAGCCGCCGTGGGTGCATATGCATACATACATACATAGTATGTAATATTTAAGTATATTTGTATGAGTGTCAGGAAGCTTGTTAATACACTACAAGTTTTGCATGCAAAATTTTCATGTTGTTACCTGCATATTTCTAGAAAAAGCAATGAATTGATTGATTTGTTTATATGTATGTTCGCAAACAGAAGAGTACATTTCATGAGTAGCACTAAGGGAATTTATGCAACAAATTCGTAAATATTTGAGAATTCATAAAAGCTAAATATGTATGATACAATCAGCGCTCGCCGACTGCACTATACGAATTTTCAAAATTTCTAGGCATTTACGGTGCAATTTCGGTCGAGTTCACACTTACTTTCTGTATTTGTTGTTGCTTTGTGGCACTTTTGAGGCTGGCGCAGGCAGCATCCTGCAAATAGAAGTCATAACCATCCACGCCCAGCGGCGGAAACTAATGCAACAAGAGCAATAACAACGACTGCAGTAAAGTAAAACCAAACAGTAACAACAAGTACGGCGGCACAAACGAGAACAACATTAAATTGCTGCACGGCACTTGTAGCAACATTGTAAAATGTGATGTGCTGCATGCAACATCTGTTGGCAGCCAAGCCATTGTTGTGGTACGTACACATGAAATCATTCTCGGCAAGTGTCTGTGGAAAACTTTATAGGTAAGTATGTATGTAGATATGTACAGTATAATAATCCCAACGGTTTTTACCCTCCATTCCTGCCCATCCGCACGAGGGGCGCAGTCCGCATGACGTACGGAACCAATATTTGCATGTGGGCACCAGTGTCCCCAGGTCTTCGGCATGAGAAAACGTCCCTCTTGGTCTGAAAAAAAACGTCATTTCCTACCCAAAAACGTCTTTTTCAAATGTATGCACAAAGAATTGTTCTTATTAAACTTTTATTGTATACAAAGGTACATACATATGTACGTAAGGTATTTAAAATTCATTCTAAACTGGTTTGAGATCGTTAATATAAAAACTTAAAAAATCGGACAATAACCACGCCCACATCCCATATAACGGTAATTTAGAGAAATACAAAATCTTCGATAAATTAGTAAATATTAAAGCAAATTTATTCAAGATAGATGCTTGCAACAATTCTTTACCAAGAAATACGTTTATGGTAAAATTTTGGAAAATGGGCGTGACATCGCCCACTTATGATCACATATATGTATATCGGTAACCGTTCTACCAATTTGTACCAAACTCGGTATTTTTATTGTGCTTGCTACATAAAAGCAGAACGTTGAAAATTATTGAAATGCTTGAAACTGCAATATTTCTAAATTTAAGGCCGCTAATTTACTCAAAATTGATACACCCCGGCTTACCATCTAGCGGTAGCTTTCGGAAAGGTGAAAAAACGGGTATTTAATATTCGGCTCCACCCGAACTTAGACTTTCTTACTTGTTAATATTTTTTTTCTTGTAGACATTTGGTTAAATGGTCGGTTGTCGAAAATGCTAAATTACGTTCTGCTAAGAAGGAACATAGCAATATTTCAGCAATAAGTGTTAAGTCATCTGTGTCCAAAGAATAAATATTTTTTTAAGCAGCTGCTGCAAAAAATAAAGCTTGTAAAGATTTATTAAGAAAATAATTTCAAATCAGTTCTACTGACAAGATTTAGTAACAGAGAACAATTACTGGGAAGTTAAGAAACGTCAGTTTTTACACAAAAAACATTCGAACGTCAACAGGATACAAAAAACGTCCAAATGACGTTAAAAACGGCAACCTGGCAACGCTGGTGGGCACACACATTTCTTTATGTATGCAGTTTGCTTGCGAAGTTGCGATGTGCAAAACGCGATGACGGGCGATTGGTTGTTGGCAGGCAACGCGTGAATGTGTTAGTTACACAAACAGCACATTGCAGCCAAGTCGAGTTAATACATATGCAAGCGCGCGCACCACATACATCCATGCACATTAGATGACTTATTTTGCTAAAGTATTTCAGATCCTCCCTCCGGCAGCAGAATATGAAAATAGGACGCTAAAGACCTAACAAAATGGAAAAAAATTTCATTATTGCAAAAACTGAATGAGCTACTCCGAAAACCGCGATTTATAAGACTGTTTTGCTATAACTTTAGATCCTAATATGAAAAGACATTTATCTTACACAAGAAAGAAAAAAAATATCCAATCTCATGAAGAAGAAGCCGCTAAAGCGAATGGCGTACTCAGTTTTTTAATACAACTAACCAAAAAGTTACCCACACGGCCGAAAGTGACAATTTGGTACTATTTTTCACGAATTTTCGAATTTATTCGTTAGGATTTTCCAGATAGTAGTAATTTTTCCAAAACTAAAATATTTAAAATTGTAGCTAATTTAATGTAGTTTTTAAAAAAGTGAATGGCTTCACTTAAGCCTAATTTACCAGTTCAAATATAATTCGATCGAAAATCTGC